AGGTATACCAGCTACTTCCATGTCATAAAGGCTCAGTCATGTCTCTTGACCAAGCAATGAGCTGGTGCCCTGACAGACTCTGACTCCAGCTGTGACCCATAGGCCCCCCACCCCCTTCCCACTGCAACTACCCAGTTGCTGTCTGCTCTTTGCCTGGTTTTCTTTACAGTAAGTCTCCGTGTTGGTATTGATTTTGCTCCCAGTGTAGGTAGGCTTCTGTGGCATCTGGTCAGAGAGCCCTGTGGCTGAAGCATGCAAACCCTAATGCCTGCTCACTCCATCACACATTCACTCACTACTGATGATGCCAGCTGGCAGTAATGTCTCTCCCCTTCCCCCTCCCCTGCTTGGTTCCTCCCCATAATAGCTTGCTTCCCTCTCCTACCCTGGTATGCTTGTTCATTCCTGGGCTGAGTGCTGTGATGTGCTGTATAATAGCTTGCTTCCCTCTCCTACCCTGGTATGCTTGTTCATTCCTAGGCTGAGTGCTGTGATGTGCTGTTCAGTACTACATAGTAATGCATGAGCAGGTTATTTGTTGGGGACCATAGGAGCTTGGCTGTTTGGCAAAGTCCTGCCTGGGTACTGTACTATACAAATCTGCAAGGCAGCAAGGACATGAAGGTGGAACACAATCAGCACTACCCTTGCTCTTGCTCTATGCCTCTTGCTCTTGCTCTATGCTCAAGCTGCTTGACAGCAGTGTATGTCAAACCACTATAACCAAACACTGAGTAACCCCACCTTTAGCAGGGTATATCAAGCTGACATTCCCACAGTTATTTGGAGCACTGCTGAGTGCTGTGTAGTACTACAGACCTTTGCAACACCTACAATAGCCCCCGTGATGAGCTCTATTCTTCCAAATATTCAGATATACAAAACTCAGCCCGTGTTATGCATCTGGATACAAGGTGTAACAATCTCCTCTGCAACCTATTTGCTTTCTGAGTAGCTGTTATTGATTGCTAGCATAGGATCTGACATGGTCATTTCTGGTACAGGCTGTAATGGTGGTCAATGTATTACCAATGTAATGGATGATGTAAATATGATGTGTGCAGGGCTTGGCACTAAGCACCAGCTCAATCAGCCATCACAGGAACAGCATGCTTGGTTCAAACACTGATAAGGGGGATTTGAAGTCCATGTGCTATGCATTGTGGATGATAGTAGATAATGAGGCAGAAATTTGGTACATGTCATTAACATGCCTGCTCTTAGGTGCAGAACCACATACCTCATTGTACAAATCTTCAGCCAGTGTGAAATTCTCTTAATTAATATCCATATTAACAAATCACAGCTTTTTCACATTGCAAGAGCACAAGATCAAACCCCTTGTCCACAAACACAACAGGCTGTCACAAGCTGATATCCCTGCCCAGTTTGCAGTCAAGGCAGTTCACAGTACATACTCATTCAACACATTCATCAAACAACAGTTCCTGCAGTAGGCGGGCTCCCAGTGACCCAGTCAAGCCTGTTAGGAGGATGACTTTCCCAGACATAGAGTCTGCTAGTGCATGTACAGGAAAATCCTGGGTATGGTATTTGACCATTGCATGCAGCAGAACTCCTATGGACAACCCTCCCAAAATATGTACAGCAACAACACACCAGCCACTGGCACAAATTGGGTTCCTGTCCCAGCAGAGAACTACCCCAGTCAAAATGGATACAGCCCCTGGAATACCAAATGCCTGCTTTGTCACTTCAATGGCACATCTACAGGCTGCACAGACAAGATTGCGACATGCCCAGGGGCCCACAAATATTTGGAAGAAGGTCTCCTCAAAAAGACAGCATCTATCATGCCCTTGCCAGCAGCCAATTTATTCCATGTCATTGGCCTGGTTGCTGAACAACCCCACCTCCAGTGGGGTGTGTCAGGCCAGTATTCCCATGGTTATTTTTGGGCCTTAGAGACCATTGCGCAGCACTACAGGCCCTCACTATGCAGACAATGCACCCCGGCAATGAGTCCAACCCCCCCCCAAATATTTGGCATGATGACTACTAGGTTTCCCCAGGTGACAGGTCCACTCAGATATTCCGCATGACAACAGTGGGTTTCCTCCACAATGGGATCGACCCACACGGATATTCAGCATGCCAATGTCTGCCTTGGAGAGGTATCTGGAGACTGGATTAGTATTGAGTATAGTTTAGAGTATCTAGCATAAGTAGTTTCCAGAAACTTCTGTATCTAGCTTATTCTGCCCCTTTTTCCATTAGAGTTATACAGATCTGATTATTGGTATACTGGCAGACTGGACTTGACTTAGTGGATTTGACTGGACTTATCATGACTTGACTGGATGGACACTGAGCTCTGATTATTGCGTACTGATTTTTGATAGCTCAGCTACAGGCTGACTACCATGTTCTTACCAACTTTCCCCCTCTCTCCCCTCTTTCCCTAGCAAGTTCTTGCACACCACCCATCAGACCAACTTATTCAGACCCCTGATATTTCAGACACCTTTTAGGTTGGATCATATTTAGAGCCCAATGCAAGGCAGCTTTTAACAAAATAAGAGCTGCCAAGGCGAGAACTCCTCCTCCGATTTCTGATACTGGCTTCCCATATTCCGGTATCCACCTCTGTTATAAACCAACAAAATGAGCTTAGGGATGAACGGCAAGCCCAACATACTGTGCTCTGAGAAACACCCACAATTTTGGATGACACAGAAGTATCATCCACTTCCAGCTGGAGTACCTCCGATATAGTGGATGCAGTCCGATGACTCCTCATGGCAAGCAAATGCACTATGCTTATGGGCAGGGAGTCTCCCTTGGCCCCCTGCTTTTCTCCTACACCTCTCAGCATCACCCATTATTTTGCAGCCCTGGAAAAACTATTTGGCTTGTGCAAACCTGCCATCACTGGTGGAGGAGATAAGATTGATTGGGCCTGCTTTTTTTACACTGATGACAACACCTATGAATTATAGGCACAGATCCACGACAGCATGGAAGATGTGAAAAAGGACTTGTATGAGAATTTCATGACTGAAATACTGAAGTACTACCCTGGCGCAGCAAATAACAAACACCAGTATGCAACTCGGGACCTTGATGACCTTGTTCACAAATGGCAATGCTGCATTAAGACCAAGGGGAAATTTGCCAAATTCTACAGGGACTTTTACCCAATTTCTACCTGGCTCATCAAGCACAACCAAATTTCTGTCCTCAACCAGAAAAAAGCCCTCCTCTGTGCACTCAAATTCCTGCCCACTGAAAGTTGCCTTTGGGACAAGATGCTGAACAGGCTCGAGCAAAAATGTGACAGAGCTGTGGATGAACCTTGGACAATGGCTGAATTAAAGGAGACAGCAGAATGGGCACTGGGTAACACTACAACAAAGGTTTGGAGACTGACCCCCAATTATTCCCAGGCCATGACACCAGCACTGACATTGGATGATGTCAAAATGGAGAGCAACCCACAAGTTGCCAAAATTACTGGGCATATGGCTACCCTGGAAGGAATGGTTTCACAGATATACATGCTTATGAACCAGCAATCCACCCCACAGAACCAACCAGCTGCCCAGCAGAACCCTTACAGACAACTGTCCTGAAATACATATGGCAACAACACACTGGCAACTGGTGCAAATCAGGTTCCTGTCCCAGCAGAGAACTACCCAAATCAAAACAGATATGGCCCCTGGAATACTGAATGCCTGCTTTGCCACTTTGACAGTGTATCTACTAGTTGCACAGACAAGACCACAACATGCCCAGGAGCCCACAAATACTTGGAAGAGGGTCTCCTTGTAAAAGACAGTCCATATCATGTCCTTGCTGGTGGCCAATTTATCCCACATCATTGGCCTGGTTGGGATCTTAAGGAAAAAGTCAATGGTTACTACAAGGACCACCTGGAACACCATCTGAAATCACAGCCTACCCCTCTTGTTGCCTTTCACAATGTGATCATCAAAGATGTTGGCTCAGCCTCCAAATTTGAGGTTATGCTGGATCATTTGGTGCTGCACATTCTCACTGAAAATCAAGATGACACAGTTGAATGGAATGACAAGGAAATAACAGTGCTCATGGCTGAGGCAGAATGACTCAAGAAACAGCAGACAGCGTCCATGGGGAAATCAGCCCAAGTCTCTGAGGTTTACACACTGGCAGCCAGAAAGGAGAAATCAGATGCATGCATACATCATAGACTGCACACTTTGCCGATGTACAAGTAGATGAACTGGAGAAATTAGACGCCATCCCAGACCTGCCAAAGCCCCATACCAAACACCCCGAAAATGCGGAAGATGAAACAGTTTTGCAGGCTCTCATGGTTACCCTAGCTGAAACACTGGTTCAAGTCCCCAGCAAGGTCCTGGCATTGGCATGTCCACTATTCAGCAAGGTACTCAAGGAAGCCTACAGAAAGAAACTGACTATTCCAGATGTGATTCAGGTGACCAAGGTACAAGACAGCGAGGCCCCAATTTACCAGATTGACAGCATTTTGGAAGACACAGACAGATTATTGGTTGGCCAGATAGACTGTTTAATTGGTGAATATGACACCCCCATTCCCTGCATTCTCAATGGTGGCTCTGGTATTGTGGGAATTAGTGAGCAATGCTGCAAACAAATCGGACTCGCATATACCCCAGTGAAAGGTTGGCAGATGGAATCTGCAAATGGTTTGGTCAATCAGCTCCTTGGCCACATTCCGAAGTTATGCATTGGTATATCAGGGCTCAACTTCTACATCCAGGCTTTGGTGCTTCCCAACCCACCTTTCCACCTGCTCCTCAGTTGCCCATTCCATGTCCTTGCCTCTTGCGTGACCCAAACTTACACAGACGGGAAACAGAAGATCCAGATAATGTGTCCGAATTCTCAGCAGACAATCTACTTATGGACTCAGTCACACTGAATGGGAAGAAAACGAGTGGTACAGGATTTTTAATTCAGGACCATCTTCACTGGCAACCAGAAGATGGCATGGAAACCTCGATAAATCGGCTCTCAAACTTGCATAACAGCTCTCAAATAGATACTCCGGAATCAAATACAATACCCAGCAATACCCATCCTGTATATGCCACCCAAAAATACAAACCTGCAGACAGACACATAAAACCTGTTGCAACAATGACTCCAGAAAGTGTAAAAATATGGAGATGCCTTCCCTCTGACCCTCTTGCTACACTTTCCCCCCTCCCTAATGCCCCACTGACCTTTACCCCTGGAAATTGGCTCACCCTGGTGCATTTTGGCAAGCTGAACATCAATAAATATGGATTCCTTTGGCCTGAAGAAGAAATACTCATGGCCTGGGTTCTCTGTACTCATGAAAAGGCTTTCATGTGGAATGAGCAAGAAATGGGACTCTTCCATAGTGATTAGTTCAACCTGGTGATCCAACCCAAGAGGTGTCTGAAATATCAGTCCAATGGGTGGTGTGCAAGAACTTGCTAGGGAAAGAGGGGAGAGATGGGGAAAGTCAGTAGAAATGCCAGAGTCAGCCTGTAGCTGAGCTATCAAAAGTTGGTACACAATAATCAGAGCTCAGTGTCCATCCAGTCCAGTCACAATAAGTCAAGTCAGAATCCACTAAGTCAAGTCAAGTCTGCTAGTATACCAATAATTGGATCCATATAATGCTAACCAATAAGGGGCAGAATAAGCTCAATACAGGAGTTTCTGGAAACTACTTATACTAGCTACCAAAAACTGCACTCTATACTAATCTGGTCTCTGGATACCTCTCCCAAGCAGGCATTGGCATGCCAAATATCTGTGTGGGTTGACCCCGTTGCGGAGGAAACCTACAGTCATCATGCCAAATATCTGGGTTGTCCTGTTGCATGGGAAACCTTGCAGTCGTCATGCTGAATATCCGGGTAGGGTCAAGACTCATTGCTGGGGTGCATTTTGTCTGCATAGCGAGGGTCTGTAGTGCTGTGCAACAATCTCTAAGGCCCAAAAAATAGCTGTGGGAATATCAGCCTGACACACCCCACTGGAGGTAGGGTTGTTCATCCCCCCCAAACCTTGAATACTGACTCCCTGAGTCAGTGGGGATGCAGGTGATGTAATGTGCAGTCAGGAACGCAGTGCAGTACTGCCAAATATCAAGTGAAACAAGAGCAGCATTATCAAGAACCAATCATGAGACTCTCTGCTGTAAGACATTGGGCTGCATATTGGGGCACTGGTACAATGGCAGTGTCAACATATTTTGGTTAAGGGCCTTGCTGCACATTTGGCGCTAAGGGTGGCTGATTGAGGAGATGGGGGCAATGCTGTTGCCAGCAACAACAGATGACATGGTGTTGGAGTTGTTCGCAGCAGAGACTTGCATGAGTGTTCCCCACTTTTCATGCTTTATTTGACCTTACTGATGCATTGTTGGCAGTGTTTGTTGTGCCGCAAGCACGCAGTGTTCAAGGATGGGGCACCATGCCATGAGTGCAATATTGTGGAGGTGCCTGACAAGGCAGTTTGCTCTGCATGCAAGGCAGCAAAAAAGCCTTGCAGCATGTGTATAGGTGCACCTTTGTTTTTTTTTCCTCATTTTTATCGACTTTGACTGACTCTTTTTGCAGCACGTATTGCCAAAGCTGCAGCTCTGCCTCCAGTGCCTGCAAAGGAGCTGTTCCACCTGGAGACTCCTGAGCCTGAGCCCATTGAAGAAACCACCAAAAAGCCTGCCAACAAGAAGAAGCAGAAGGCAGTGTGCAGCTATGTGCCAGCAAACCCCAAAAAATGTGAGCAGGAGGATGACGAGGACTTGCCTGGGCCATCAACAAAGTGGTCCCGCCTTCCGGAGGCCAGTATGTCTTTTCTGTCTGTAGTTTATATTTGGGACATGCTGACTGAACTTTTTAGAGATTGAGCTGCCAGTTGCACCACTCCAGATGGCAGAGCACAAGATGCTGGAGCTCTGGAAGAGCCTGCAGACAGCTCAAAAAGTGGTGAACACTGCAACAGGCTGGGCAGATCAAGTTCAGACTCTCCTGGGGAGGGCTCTGACTGAGTAAATCGTGGTCTTTCTCTTTTTGCTGTCTTTTCTTTTCCTTCTTTTCCTTGTGTCATAATTTGTCTGGTAGTCATAGTCATAGTATCTTCATGTCTTTTGTTCTTGTAGATCCGAATTTTGCCTTAAGTGAAATTCGTGGTAATACAACTTGTTGGCTCGATATTTTGTTTACTGAGTGCTTCAAGTCATGACTTCAATGTTTTTTGCTTTGGTAATTCAGATGTTGTGCAAATTGCAGGAGATTGCAGGTATGCTGGTAAGGACTGTACTCTTGTCATACTACTGAGTCCACTTGTGGACTTGGTAGATATATCTCAGGGGAATGAAAGAAAACAAGGGATTAAGTCGGGATACACTTGGAACTGCACAATCCGGGCTTTGAGAATGGCACCATCCAAATCAGCTATCACATAGCTGCCTCTAGCAGTTTGGGTGACAACAACCATGGGACCAAGAAATCAGAGCTTTGATTTTTGGTCAAGTTCCTTCTCAATGCAAGTGTTGGAAATGAGGACTAGGGTGCCAGGCTTGAAGTTATATTTGGTAAGGATGTGCTCATTGTCTGCCCTAAATCAGTCTGCAATTCTCAGGTGGGCTTGGTGAACCTTCTCCTGGAGCTCAGATAAATTGGACTTGTAATGCTCAAACTGTTGAATTCTGTAGGCTAGCTTGTCACTGTCAGTCATAGGGAAGTGGTTGGGGGCACGAGGAATGTGGCTTGGTCAAAGTTCATGGGGAAGACCAGGTGAACACCATGTGCAATGAAATATGGCAAGAGGCCAGTGCTGTGCTGGAGTGAAATTTGCTCAGCCCAGAATGTGGTCAGTGCTTTGTCGGGCCACTGCTTGACATTATCTCCACATACTTTCAAAATTCCTTGTTGGACCGTAAAATGTTTTGACTCCACTGCACTATTTGCACGAGAGTTGTATGGCGAAATTTGGATGTGCCAGATGCCAAAGCTTCATGCCAGTTCCTTGACTGCTGCTACCCAGGCTGATCCATTGTCAGTTACAATCTCTGCAATATTTCCCCAGCAGCAGATAATGTCATGGAAAAGGAATGATGTGAGGGCCATTGCAGTTTCTGATTTTAAGGGATGCCATTCGGGATACAAAGAGAGGGAGCATCAGACTTGGGCAATACAAGTGTATTCTTTTGTGGGAGGCATCTTCATGGTATCACAGTAGATCTTGCAGAAAAGCAGAGCTGAGTAATCAACTGTTGGAGGTTTGGGGACCTTCTGAATGCTGTGGACTTGACATGCATGGCAGGTATGGAGGTACCACTTGATATTCACACATAGGTTGGGCCACCAAAATTGGAGACAGAGGATACCCATGACAGTTTTGAAGCCTTTGTGACCACTGTCATTGTGGGCTTGCTTTAGCAGGGCAAGATGTTCAGCCGGAGGGACATATAGTTGAGGGGGGCCAGTGAGGTTACATTGGCACAGTTTGCTGTCATGCAGGAAGTACTGGAGAGACTGCTTAACGAGGGCTGCTCATTGCCATGTATTCCAGTCCGGAGGGAGCGTCAAATTGGTGAGGTACTGGCAGATAAATGCAATTCAGTTGTCAAGGTGTTGGGTGGAGGAGGTCATGGGGATCTCTATTTTGGGCTCAGAGTCTGTGACTGCAGATTGAAAGTGGGCAGGATATGAGAGTCCCAGGCATTGTTTGTGGTTGATATCCAGCAGGTTTGGAGCATTTAGTGAAGTCAGGGGATGGCAGGAGAGACCATCTGGACTGGTGTGTCTTTTTTGGTGGGAACTTAGAAAAGGTCAAAGTTGAATTGGTGGATACCACTGACCCAATGGTTGAGGGCTGCAGCAGGCTGCTGGTCCAGATTATTTAGCATGCCTTTTATGCAGGACACCTCCACTTCCACAATAAATTGGGGTGCACCAATGAGGAAGACTTGCAGTGCCCAGAGAGTGCAGTATAAGCCCTATAGTTTGAGTTTGGGCTGAGAATATCAGGATTCAACACTGTTCCATGTCAGGGATCCAAAGTGAGCCAGTTTCCATTTGCCATTGACGTTGTTTTGCCATAAGACATATCCAATGCCAATATTCAAAGAATCAACCCCAAGGATAATCTTTTGGTTGCTCTCATAGTTGATGGGACAAAGGAGTCCATCCTGACAGGCATCTGCCTTTAGCTGGTCAAAGGCTGCTTGGTGCTTGGGGCCCCAGGCAAATATCATGCCTTTGCATTTGAGATGTTCCAAAGGGCATGCTTTCATAGGAAAATCCTTTATGAATATTTGGAGGATTCTGAGGGTACCCAGGAAG